TGAAGCAGGAAATAAGGTGGGTTAACTAATATTAAATTTTGTTCATCCAATCAAAAATGTGGTGACATCTCCTTGCCCATAAAAAAAAATAATTAGAAACGTGATTACTAATAATATCTGTACTGTACAGCACAGAAGTCCTGAGAGAAAAACACCATGGAATTAAAATGTTGATCTCAGAAAAAATTCCTTTCTCCAAAAGATTTCTTGGCACAGCAAGTTACCAGGTGTGCTGTAAATAGTCTAGTAAATTTGTTCCCATTACAGCTGAGAAAGTGCATTTTTGCCCATTACAAGGAAGTCAGAAAATCCCTTCTAATGAGAGGAAAGCTAAGGGTGTATTTTTTCTCTGTGGTTTTATTTTTAGTGCTTACTCATATTCTGAATGATAGATTCTTCTTTCAATTGAAGTTTGGAAAATAATTAGAGAAAAGGTGAACTACAATTCCTATTCAGCATGAAAGTACCAAAATAGCGTACACACAAGCTGACATGGTACAGTGTGGTGGATAGCTTTTATGACACCATCAAGTCCTGTCTTATTCCAGTTCTGCGCCAGTGTAGTTGCACTAAAACCAGTGGACTTAAACCCAACAAAATAAACAGGAAGAAGGGATTAGAGGCCCCACAGTGCACGTGGAACATTACAGAGTCTTTAATGTCTGCTTGTAAAGAGCTGTAGATGCCTGGCCTTAGGCAATCAGATGTTAAATAAATGCCCAAAGCAATTTAATATAATGGGCTCTGTTCTGTGCTAAACAGCCAAACTGTGCCCTCTCCTTTCTACCCTGAGAAGAGCTTATTCCAGCTGTATAAGCAATGTTTTATCATTCTTGTGCTCAACACACTTTCTGCTCTTCAGCACCAGAGATTCTTCTGTCTGATATCCTTTATTCCCACCTGGAAACACAGATGGCAGAACTGCCTCCAATGTTGCCAATGTGGAACAGATCAGGCATGGCAGCATCACTGTCAGTCATTTGTCACAAGTTCCCCTTTGATCTCTAGTATGTTTTTTGTTTGGGTTTTTTTTGCTAAATTATTTCCTTCCATTTGGCATCTTCCTTGCTCTGAAGGACTTACTCTTTCATTATATGTATGGATGGTATTTAGTGAAGTAGGGTGTTCTGTGCTACAGCAGGGACAGAAATAATTCTAAACGACAGGTGACCTGAAACAATAAAAAGTGGGCAGATGCAGGCAAATTGCCTCAGTAAGCACTATGATTGTGTATGATCCTTTCCACCTGCTAATGAATATGCATGTGGAAAATAAGAAACTCTTTTTTTAAAACTGTGTTGAGTTTGCATTGGTGAATAAATCAGGATGATAAAATGTGAAGTCATCCATATTTAAGATTCAACAGAAAATGACAGTTATAATCTGCCCAAGAATAAAAATAGGTTCAGAACCAGAAAGTTTCTGAATGTCAGAAAAAGGAGATCTGCAGCACTCAGCAAGCATTCAGGTCTGGGACAGGGGAAAGAGTAGTTTTCAGGTAAATTTACAGGTGGGATGCAATTGTGTGAAGCCATAATTTTCAGACCAGCCAATGGTCTTGCTGCTTCTTTTCAATTGTACTGATTACTCTGTCAGGCTGAAAATAACTGTATGTAATTAGCACCAAAAAGATATTAATCTGAGAAGACAAATGCTATCATCAAAGAGTAGCATGGTAAGGAAAAAGACAAGGCTGATGATAAAGCCATAATGGGAACTGGCAGAAGAGAACCCCCACAGCTGTGAGTTTTGGCATTATCTTGGTTGTTTTTAGAAGAATGGAGTCAGACTTTGCCATGTTAAGAAAGTTGTTTCTCTTAAATATCCTAGGAAAAGGATAATGAATATATGAGATAAAGAATTTAATAAATGAGTTGTATACATTGTCAGCATCTACATAATCCTGGACTTGATTAAAACACTTTGACACTTAAATGTTGACCCTTTCCCAGTGGCAGATCTGGTTTTGCCACTCATGTACTGCACAAATTCTGGCAGTACATAGTTATAACATAGACCCAGCTGGATCTTCACACTCAATATTCTCTTGATAATTATACTAGTGGAGTTGTATTCAGTGCAGTTTCCAAACCAGCACAATCAGACTGAGCCTTTTCCAAAACACAGAATTCCTGGTTGCTATGTTATGTGTACTCTCCTTCCAGGTGTATACCAGAATAATTTAATGTATAGATTTATTTGTTAACATGGTTAGCTTGAAACAACAGCTGAATTTCAGATATATATTATGGATTATTGTGATTTCAGTAGCATTTCTTTTATTTAAATAATAAACAGTTGTAACATGCAAATATTATTTTACTTTTCAATATGACTATCCCTAAATCTAATGGCTAAGATACCTGCATAGAACAGGAAGACAGCAGTTTCAAGTCCTTCTTGAAATTGAGGAATACAGGAAATTTACCTTGAATCTCGCTAATTGGCTATTTAGGCACAAAACTTGTGTCAGAAAGATAAAGTTTCTTGTTTGTGATAAGTGATTTTTATCTGAGTTCTAGACATCCTTCCACTCTGGTGTCAGAAAATTACTTTTAGTACTAAAGATTTAATGTGGTAGGGGGTTTTTTTGGTTTTTTTTTTTTTTGGTTTTTTTGTCAACTGTTTCACAAGGATAAAATTCAATCTTCCAACAGATAAGCATATGGGGACCAAATTTTCTACCCTGTATGTCAGGGCAGTGTCTTGCCATAGCCTGAATCTGAGTTGCAATATTGAATGTCACAGTGGTTTTGCACTGTAACTTCAGGCTGACAAAGTGTGCACAGCAGCTGCCATTGTTAAAATCAGTGATTCACTGTGAAGATTAAAAATTACTTTTCCTTTGAGTTAGGACCTTCTTTCACCCCCACAGCCCACTGTGAAATTGTGTAAAGATGCTTTGCCCTAAATCTGTCCAACCAGAGACTACAACCAAAAGTGATATTGTACAAAGTAATTTTTCAGTAGGGATAATGAACTTAGTTTACCCAACAGCATTGCCTTTGGGAAAAAGTAGCTTGCCTTGATGTGATCTGTCAAAATCATCTGTGAGACCTCTACCCAGCAGTGAATTATTTCCTGTGGGCTGCTTTCTAGTATGTTTTAGCCACTGAGATGGTTTATAGTTGGACAAAATGAAGGATTTAGAAGTCTTAAAATGGGCAAGCCCTTGACAGTCAAGGATGCCTGCTTTCCAGTGCTTGTCCCTCCACCACCCACATCTCAGAGGTCTTCAGTTGAGCCTGAGCTGCAGAAGCTGGGGATGACCAGGGATGCAAGTTTTGTTAAAACAGGTTTTACACTAGGCATCCAAATAGTGCAGGCTTAATCTTAAGTTTGTACCTGCACAAAATATTATACCTAATATGCCCATACAGTAGGTCTATTTTAAATATCCACGTCTGTGTGGGTTTTCTTCCATTGAGTCATAGCTAAATAAAATGGTTCTGTTGCTCACCTCTAAATAACATGATCTATTTATATTTATTCAAGCAAAAAAAGCTTTTAAAAAAACACTCATAGACTTTTGAAAAATTGGATATGTGGAAATACATCTCTGTGTATTCATTTAATGATCTAAATGGTTACTCAGAAAAAGTCTAACAGTTTGGTGGAACACTGGTTAATTTTTATTGTCTGGAGAGAAGGAAACTTTCAGCATCAATATTTAAAATGAAACTGAACACCTGTTCCACTTTTTCTTCTTTTTTCTTCCTTTTTTTGCTACATTTATTTCAAGAGTACTAATTTTCTGTGCATGGCAGCACTTGGAACAGGTGCAGCAAAGCAGAAGTTAGAAGAATCTGTTTGCTCTGATTGCTGGCCAGAGGGCAACACAGCAAAGCTGAGGGCAAATGAGCAGCTCTTTCATACTGATCAGTCTGCAAACCACACAACTTTTCCTTCCTGTTTATTTCTTTGTTTGTTGGTTTTCTTTCAAGAGCTTAGCATATCAACATGTTTTCAAACTTTCTGGTTTTAACAGTGAGTCACTGAGAGGTCAGGTTTATTTTAAGAATATGCACATTTTATGTAAAGAGTAGAACAGTGCAGGTATAGGTGAAATAAATGATATCATAAAAAGCTATGTAGCTCACATTCAGGCATAAAGAATGAAACTATTAAGTACTCTATTAAAAAGCTTCATGGAACTTTGCATGCATAATTTCTTTAATTTAAACTTTTATAATCACTTATTCTTTATATATAAAAGTATGGATTTTGTATTCTGTCTCAACATCCTAATGTGCATTGCAAACAATTTCTGAAAAGACTTGTAATAGCACAGTAAGGTAGGAAAATAGAAAAAGCATCATATGGCTTATGGAAACCAAAACATAAGGGACAATTTTGTTGACTCTCATTAATTTTTCATGTCTCAAATAATGTGGTATTTTTCTTTAAAAAACTTATTATATCCCCATGGGTTAGGGTTACGGTTAGGTTAAGGTTTAGGGTTAGGGGTAGCCCTCCTGGCTGCCTAGGCACTGCTGTCTCATTGCTGGAACAGTATACAAGTGTCTCTGCTACACCTGATTGTTTGGAATGGCTTCTCCATGATCCCTGGAAAGAGTTTTCACCATGCAGTAAGCAGACATAAGTAAATTTGTAGGAATGATCATGACTTTACTAAGAGGAGAGATAAAGGGTGAAGCTGTTGTTGTACTGAAGCTGAGCAATACCATGCTATTATGTTCAAAGGACCCACAATTCCAACAAAGAAAGCAAAATGCCTCTTACCTCTTCCTGATCAGGGTAAAGCCAGTGGGGGATAAAATGTGAATAATTTTCAAGAATTAGTTACAGATGTCTCATCATGATACGTAAAAAAATGCATGATCTGAAAATTATATTATGAGCCAAATATTAGACAATAATTTTTTAAATCACAAATATTAGATAATAATTAAACATCAAGCAAAGAAACTTATTTGCTTAATTGTAAATATTATTCAGATATAATAAAAAAAATATAAATTTTGTGAAAATTTTGAATATTTCCTTGAAGAAGGTTACTTGTAAGGTCTGAAAATAAGTCATTAAATGGAGCTGCATTGAAGATATCCATTTTTAGATAGGAAATATGAGGTTTCTGTCTCATTCTTTTACTGGACACTTGATCCCAATCCTCAGAAACATGATCGGTTCAAAGTGTTCTCACCAGCTCTCCTCAGAGTTGCTAGCAGCAGTGAATGCTCAGCACAGAAGAGAGCTTCTCACTTGTCCTTCAGCAGCTCATAATCTTAAAAGCAAGCAAATAATACCTGGAGAAAATAAGACAGATAAAAGAACAAAGAAAATGAAAAATTCAAATATTAGTGGAAAGAGGGATAATGTGCTAGAGAAGGAAAAATGGGAGAAACTACAGGAAGTCAGCTGGTCAGCAGGTTAACATTCTATTAGTAATCTATGACAAATTTTGTTTTAGACTGAGAACATTAAAGCTGCCATTCTTTCTCAGAAAGGCTGCAGTTTTCCTCTCCAACTATCTGCAGCGTATTTTCAGTATTTTTCCTTACCTTTATCTGAAAGACTGACAGGGAACCAATACAGGAAATTGATCTGGAAAAACCAAATTGATTATTTTTTGTAGGTCCAAAGGATAAAGTAGACTATTTTGGCATAACCAGATCAGAAATAAGTGTATTTATAGATTTTCACAGAAAGAGTTCACCTTCTATAAACTCAGATGGCTGTGTGCAAAGAATGCCTAAATCCACCCTTTTCCCTGAACTACGGGCAAAGAGTGGGGGGAAATCACTGCATGAAAAGGTGGTCAAGAAGGGGAAGGATGATGAGAAGAACTAGGTAGCTCTTTAAGGATCTGAAGTCAGCTGTTTCCATTTGTTCTTAAAGGCACTAAGTTATGCCACAGTAGCAAGTCAAAATACATTCCATATTGCAAACTGACTTTTACTGCACAGCACTGAAGGGCTGCTTTCACGATCTGAAAGAAGTTGAGGTTAATGCTATGAAGACTGTTCTTTGCTCTAAACCTAAATGGATGAAAGTAGCCTTTAATGATTGCAGTTAAAGTAAAACAAGTTGAAAGAGACAGCATTGCTGCTAGAGGTTGTCCTGTATACATTTTCACAATGAGCACTTTGTTCTCATTTTACCTTTTGTATTGGTCCCAATTCACAGTAGGGAAGGAGAAGTAGGAAGATGATGAGGAAAAACAGTAGGAGAATGGCTACAGATGTTATAATTTCTAAGTTTTAAATTGCAGCATCCAAATGTGTTAATGATCTCCTTTAGAACAATAATCTTATGATTCCTTCTGAAGAATAGTATTCAGGGGTGTACCTCCTAAAGTGTTTTCATAACCCACTTCATTACTGTTTTTGTCCTATACCAATGATTTACTTGCATTGACAGAAAAGACAACAGTGCCTGTGATAGTTTGTGGAAGAAGAAAGAGGTTGAGTTTCATTTTGAAGTAGACTTGCTCTTTAAAAGAGAATTGTAAACTGCTTAAAATCTGTCCAGGTGGCATCAGCTAGATCACTCTAGCTGATTTCAATAACCTGAACTACGTGGTGCCCAAAGTCCAGTTGGTGACATTATAGATGGAATGTGCTGAGAAACTAAGCACTATGGGATTGCTTTTTAAGGTAATTTGGGCTAACAAGAGCGTGAACTGACCTATCACCACCTGTTTTGTGTTTCTACAGCCAAATGCTGTGTTTCTCCACTGAGCTCCTTCCCATACTCAGAGCTGCTGGTATAAAACCTTGCTTGTAGTTTTCCACTTTATCTGTGATTTCTTTTCTGGAAGAATGAGATGCTTATAAGAAAACTGAGTCTAAGGAAATGTCACAGTGAAGCATTATGGAAATTCAATATAATTGAAAAAGAGGGAATAACAACGAAAGTGCAAAATGCTGGATGAATGCCCTCCATGCTTCAAAAAGTTAAAGAAAAAAGAGCTGTTCTCCACTTCTGAAGCTTTCTTTCAGTATTGGGTAGGTAGGACCATTGTTCTAATGTTATAATCTTTTCAATTTTCCTACTGAAGTTGTGTAATGCAACTCTGCATTATATTTTAGTGTCCCAAGTGTCTCTTTCTTCTTCTGCCTTCTGTGAATCTTCAGCTTGTAACATGCCAAAATTTAGCTAGCCAGGAAAGAGTTATCTGGAAGACTATCTCTGAAAATTATGCTCGCCATTCATCAGTGGAGGAGTTTTACTGCAAAGAGGCAGTTATTTTATTTCTTATGTATTTAATTGTGTTAATATATAGTAGTGATATTTTTGTCTATCAGCCCAAAAGCTTCATTCTTTCAGTTGTTAGAGAAAGCAGCCTGAAGTACTCAAATTGTCAAAAAATGTTTAACTCCATCCTTTCAAATGATTCAATGGAAGATTTATTTCAATGGAAGAAGAAATAAGGCAGAGGGGAATCCATTTACACAAATAATTATTTTGCTGCTTATGTGAGAGTCAACCATACAATTTGAAATTAAAAAGGTAGTTGATGTAAGGGACACATTTTTGTGAAAATTCTAATGGCAAATGTTTCCATTTTTCATCTGTTATTCCTTATGTTTTTTTTAAAAACTGACATTTTAATAGGCCTCATCAATTCTAAATGCAAGTGAATACAAGGAACAGAGATTTCTTTGAAGAGTGGTCATTACCAGACCCAGAAATTTGAAGAATTATCAATGCTGTTTCCTACATTTGAAATGTAATATTCTTCCCCAGATTTCTCTTTTTTTCCCTCTATTTTATTTTCACGCGGAAGTCCATTAACAATTATCCAATATCATACACCTAGCAGAAGCATAATCGGTTTTTTTCAAGGGTATTGCAAAATTCTCAAAACCATGAGCATTTTTCCTTAAATTAAAATATATTGTTACTAAACCTTTAAAGAGATTACTTTCTAAGAGGTCCCACATGTACAAAAAATATGACAAAAGAAATATAACAGACAATTACAAACCAAAATCTTACATCCATGATGGCCCCTCCATCTTTCTTGGGAGGCAAGGAAGGGATGTGCCTTGCTAAAAGAAATCTCCTGTGAAATCCCAGGTGAGCCATCTCTGCCTCTCCTGGGACTATTGCATTCCTGCTTATATCAATATAATTCCCATGCATAACTCAGCATCTTAACTCAATGCAGCACCTAGGAGAAGCTGCTTGCAATATTACTGACAGAACTTGTACTTCAGAATCAAAGATTAAGTTTTGTAATTCTGGACTATTTTTAGCACTGCTTAGGTCTAAATTATGAACCCATTGTCAAAGTTAGTAATCCATTTGAACACTTTCTCAAAATATTGTCAGAGGAGGAACTGAGCCTGATAATTTAATAACTCTTTCTCTCACACAGGGCTTTGCCTATGCGAATTTGATTTCTCATCTGTTTGGAGTAGCATGAACTTCTGCTTCTCACATGCCTGAAAGTTCTACTGTAAAGTATAGCCATGCTATAATTGTGTCCTTTTTTTCCAGTTGGAATTCCTTGTCCACCACCCATGATCAGCTTTCAGGATCAGCTGCTAACAGACAGCTCCTCCATTATCTCATTACCTGTCCTTGCACAAAAAAATCCCTGCCCCATCCTCTCTCTCCTGTAGATGTGGGGTAGGACACTCACATTCACTCCAATCCTCTTATGTTCATCTGCTTCATGGTTGGCAGATATGAGGGTGATATCTTTAGGGAAAAAAAAAAAACAAAACATAAAACCAAAACCAAACAAACCTGTTAAAGAGGTCATAAATCATGCCCAAAGATAGAAAACTATCCTCGACAAAAGAGGGAGTGGTTGCAGATAAAAAGTACTTATAAAAATAATTATCTCAGCTCCTCAGGCAGAAGTCAAGATAAGCAGTTAGGGGAGGTTATGCTCATAATATCACACTCTACAGAATACACAGTATTTGGGTAACAATCAAGGCATCATATTCCTGATCTCAAAATAGTGTGACTCAGTCAGTCATTGCCCCAGTGAGAAAAGCAAGACAAAAGTATTTTGCATTCAGATGAATACCAACCACTTATATTTTGTGACAGGTATGATAGAGGGTTGTAACACAGCAGTACCATGTCAAAGAAACATACAAGAACATGGAAAGACTATTGGGTCTCAGACATTGTTGGCCAAATAATGTTGTTTTCCTTGTTATTCTCATCCCAACATGGGAACACACAGAACTCTTCAAATGTCACAGTAGAACAATTGGATACATCACATTTGTGTAAACATAAAATTCAGATCCTCTGTCAAAGACTCAAGATCACATTGGGAAGCAAGGAACAGCAGCTGTCACAGCCCTTCCATGCCAAAATGAATACAAATTTAAGGAATAAAAAGGAGCTGTTAAAAAAAATGCACAGTGCAAATCTAAACCAGAACTGTACTCTAAGAAATTCTATTTTGAATGGAGGGACAGGTTAGGGAGTGAGAAAGATGTGGAAATACAAACTAGAGATTGGAACTGAGTAAAAAAACTAGCCACCTTTGAGGGCAGTGAGTTTGAAGCTACTCAACTGCATTTCCGCAGAAAAGGAGCAAAAATGCAGGACAGCAGAAGAAATATCATGCCTTAAGGAACTACAGAGGACCTCAGGAAGGACATTTTCTTAAATGTGAATTTCAGTAAAATATTGAAAGGAAAAGCAAAGGAGCATGAAATATAAGAAAATCCCTGCAAGAGAAAATAATCACAGGTTTCCTGAAGATTTGGTGTGAGTCTCTGCTTTTATGGTAGAAAAAGGAAATTGTAATAAAAGTTGGGATTAATCTAACCTAGTCTCACCTAGTTTCCTCTCTAGGCAATTCAGAAGAATAAGCACTTTTAAAGTGCATCTCACCCCATCTTCTACAAGACTTCCAAAGTAAATCAAACTAGTGGTGGCTTAAAAGTTCCAGTGTCTCTTTGTCAGCTAAAAGAAGAGTAAAAATGCTCAGATGAAAATATCTAGATTGCAGATGTCTACATATAATTTCCCAAAGTGTCTAAAACTCCACAGGGAAATTTCAGAACAAAAAGCTATGAGCTGGAACAGTTTACACAGGTGTTCACAAGGTCCCACTTCGACATTACATGACATGTAAACTCAATCAGTTTGACATTACATTGGACAAACTTCGGTGTTTGAAGTACAGGTAAAAATCAGAAGATAAAAACAGCAAACTAAAGCCAACTAAATCACAACAGAGATGCTAAAATGCACCTGACATCACTCTCCTAATGAAACAAGAGTTGACCAGCATAGTCTAGAGAATACAAGACTTTTGTTTTAAATT